TTTAATCAAAGTATTATTAAGAAGTTAATCGTAAAATTTAATCAGCTGTTCAAAATACATGTATACTAATTATGTTTACTTAAGGTCTTGCCCCGAACTGAAAGACAACTTGTCCTTGTGCTAATTAATTTTTTAAAGTTTGAATGTTTTCAAGGTTAACACTGGCACTGGTATTCAATATACTGGACATTTGATCTATCAGATTTAAGTAGCACGTCGATCATTTGAAAACGCAATATTGATTTCAATACAAATTTATATCAAATCTCTTAAAATTGAAAAAAAAGTCTTGTTAACCCGTAAGCGTTTTTGGTATTCGATATTTGGTTAACGGGTTAACAGTTAAAACGTCGAAAACACTACAAATAACCATAAAAATTAGCAAAATAAGATGTACTAAGAAGTAAAAATGACTTAAATCGCCAATCTAATCCTTTCAGTAGTTAACTGATGATTTGTGACCAATTTTAGTGTATTTTTTTTTCTAGTGCTGTCAAATTGAACATATTTACCTAACCGGTTACTCGGATAATCTTTCGACCGATATGAAAGTTAATGTCCAATCAAAATGTACACTAAGGGTAGCTGGGGTAAGGGAATTTGGTCTTCTCCCGACCAGCAGTAACACACTTGCCAAAGGGTGGCGTCCTTTTGGCTCAGAGGGATGTATGAAATCTCATGCGGCCACGTCTGGTTAGAAAAGGGGCATTCAATCCGATGACTCGTGTTGAAAAAGTTTCGCGCTCTTTGCACCTTAATAACCCTTGCAGCAACTCTTTGAGGGGCCCGTAAGTGGCCTTTTGCAAGGCTTAATTTCTGTCTCTGTCAAACATAGCCTCATTTTCTAGTACCATTCCAAATGTCTGACCCTACATGCCGGTCGATCCCTTTTACAGGACCTGCCTGTTGAATAAATTGTTAATTTATTCTCATCCTGAACTATCATGAAACATATTCAACTGGACGTTACGCAAACAACAATCAACCAATCAACCAATCAAAGAAATATTTGCCATTTCATCACGGTGTATGGTTATATAATATGTTGTTTTCAAGTTAATCGTCACACCTTTTTTTTTTTAAACATTCTGTAAAGTTTATGTCTGCATGGTACTTAAACCATTGTCGTGACGTCAGCCTATTCATTTACCGTGGATTCTTTTTCTAGAATCAACGTTTCCTAAATCTGTCGCTTAAATGGACTCACCAAACAAAAACCCTCCGGGCTCATGGTTTCTTTTTCAAGAATCAACGCTTATTCATTGTATCTATATTACTGAAACGACCAGTATACACTATATGTTTTCATTTCACAATATTGAATCAGTAGTTCGTTTGAAATATGATCAAACCTTGGAAGTGTATGATTTGCATTTTAGTATTCACATTCACTCAATATTAAGTTAAAAAGGGAGAAAAAACAAACAGATCGTAAAATTTAATCAGCTTACAACTGTTCAATGTTATGTTTACTAAAGATTTTGTCCCAGGCTGATAGACTTCTTGTCTTCGCCGCTACTTAAATTAGGTAAACCTTAAATGTATTCATTGTTTACTTAATTCAGGCACAAATGTACAAGATAATTGCTCTCATTAACCAGGATGATCATGTTAAAATATATATTAGTATTTTTTATGATTTAAATATACATTAATATCAAAACTATTAAAATTGAAAAAAGTTTAATGATTTGGTAAATCGGTTAACCATCCTAGACAACACTAGATTTTACCCAATCTACAAATAAGTCGATATGAATCTCCAATTAAATCTACGTAATTTGGCGATATTTCGGATTTTGATAAAATTTTGTATGCATTTAGAACTCTATGAACTGCATCTGAATATCGAACAAATGAAATAGGTAGATTGTTATATTTCCATCGATATAGTAAATCAAACATTTGAGAAATAATATAAATGTATAGAATGTATATAAAAAGCGGCGAAAAATGTGCATTCTGCATTTTATATTGCGTTTTCTAGAAAATCCATTAACAGAGTTTTGATTAAAAGTGATTATTGAAAAGGTATTGCTGTAAATATTCCGTATAAGTGATATGAACAAGCTACAAAATCGTATTTTCATGTTTTCATGTTGTCAACCATTTTTAAATGGCACACCGCTGCCTTGTTATTGAACGTACTTTAGACATATCTTTCGCTATTCCTTATGGCAAACTTAGGCCGGCCCGGGACCACCATTTAGCTATAAAACTAGGTTTAACCCACCACTTCCTTCGGAAAATGCCTGCACCAAGTCAGGAATATGACAGTTGTTTTTCAGTCGTTCCGTTGGTTGATAACGTTTGATTTTGTCAGTTTTTATGGACTTCCCCCTTTTTGAATTTACCTTTGAGATCAATATTTTTGTTATACTTTTTTAGCCATCCTCGGATACATTTAATATTCATATTCTATTGACAAGCATACTTTTTTTTATTCTACATTAAAATATAACGTCTAAACTAATTTACTTTAAAACTAATACTATGATTGTCATAGTGAGAACAATAAGCTGTCCTAATTGGCTGTTAAATTAGTTAATTTTTTTGTTACAAGCTGTGTCAAAAAGCTTAACTAAGACACATTGTAATTATCTAAAGGCTGCATGGAAATTAAGATCGTAAACTATCAGTTAATATGTGTATCAGTATATATGTTTAACACATGAGTTATCTCTGCATTATTCAATTGTTCTCTGTATTCTGTCATATTTGTCATATATGTATATACCTTGTTATTTTGCTAATGCAATAAAGATTCATTCATTCAATACTATGAATGTAGTAACTTGATGATGTCAATTATTTCCTTTCTGGTTGCTTACCAAATTTTATCAATATAACGGAACTACAACAAATGTATGTACAATTGTCATACAAGTGGGAGATTTAACTGACTATGAAATCAGGTTTAACCCACCATTTTCGTCTTGGTGTTCGGTATTTTTGTTAAAAAAAAAATTTGTGATTTCATGTTTTAAAGTGCAAAGTTGTGCTTAAACTATACCCAAAGGCTATAGGTATAATTTATTTTGCAAATACTTCCTTTGAAATCCTCTTTCATGTACGTATATACTTATTCGGCCACCAGATGGAGGGTAAATGAGACAAACACACACACAAATACTACTAGAGGTTAATATACTATGGTAATTACTGATTATAAATCAAGATACATAAGAGTTTACACAAGTAACAACTTGGGATAAAAATTATTTATATATTATTTTTTAATGTACAGATTAAAATACAGAAAAGAACAAGATGTTTGGCGGGGACATCGTAAGTCAGATGAATATAATGGGTGTTCTTAGCTTAAAGCTGATATGAGTAAGGAGTAATTTAAATTTAAATGGTATGACACTTGGAGTTGTATATTGGCAGTCATGCATATTCAATGTCAATATACTACGAAGACAGAATTCCAAGTTAAGGTACGTGAATCTCAGAAATAGTAGTTGCAAGTATAAAACTGAATAAAAGCTCAAGAAAGGACTAGTTGGGGCCTTGTACAAATTATTGCACATTGTAGCATATCAATCACAAAATGTACTCTAACATATTGCGCACAATAATATCATTAAGACAAGTATATATCCCTGAACGTGAACAAATTGAATATAAGTACAAATTAAAAGTCAGTTTGACGTTGAAAAGTTGAAGATAAGTGTTACTATCAATGCAAAGAATTGTTCCACATATTTTAGTTCTTTTCTATTTAGAAGGATAAAGCTTGTTCAATAAACCATATGCATAGAACATTCTAGGTTGTTACGAACCTTGTATATATCAAAATAGAAACTTTTACCTACAGTACACATCACAATGGCGTCTTCAACGATAGACAGGGGTCTATACAATATGTCAAGCTCTAAATCGCCAAAGTCTTAAAAACTTATTTTTATTAATAAAATGAATAATTATTAAAGAAATCTATGAAAGATCTGTCAAAAATACAAAATTCTCCAAATATCAAAAAGCCAATGAAGTAATAAAACCACTGGAGAGTTTCTTACGTTGAACAGGCACGCACATGAACATGAGGAGGGTTTTGACTTCCATTTTTCATTCCTAATGAGCTATCTTCCGAAAGGTAACTACAATATTACAATAAAAATCCGCACAGGAAAAACACTAAACTCTAAAATGACGATATAAAGAATAACGAAACTAACTAACTAACTAACTAACTAACTAATACCCTACAAAAGAATGTTCGTATTTCTGAAAGCAACCTCGAAGTACTTATGTTATCATGCCAACAAAGATCAGTGGCTATTTCTCACATTGTCAAATGATTTTATACAGCAACATCATAAACAATGCAGGAAGACATAATCTTGTACGTTTTGATCTTAAACAATTATTTTAGATGACAACGGATAGCAGAACACTTGAATATTCAACCATCTACTAAACCAATATAATAATCGCAAATCTTTCGAAGAATAAAGCTTATGATTACCTATCAGTAGACTGACTTTTGTGTCAGTTTCTTTTCACTCAAACATTATTGATTGATTCAGGCGACATGAAAGGATTATCACTTTTCAACGCGAGAGAGGAAATTTGTTTTTCTTATTTTTTTTTTAAATTGGTTAGATCACCCCTGGCTTTTGGAGGGGTTCATGTTGCTTAGTCTTTAGTTTTCTTTGTTGTGTTTTGTAGACAGTGATTTGTCTTTTGGTCGTTTTTTGTCTTTGCCATGGCGTTGTCAGTATGTCTAGGACTTATGGGATTGAATATCCTTTTTGTATCTTCCGCCTCTTTTTTTAAGCTTGGGTCTTAAGCAATAGAAGTTACTATTATTACTCGTATAACACGAATGCATTTCTTTGACTTGATTTTGTAAACAAGTATTTGTTTTTATTTGACTTTTCGTGTGATCAAGTTTTATTATTGTCCTATGAATTTTCGACCCCCCATTCCGGCTTTCGTCAGTTTAATCCAGTAATCATTTGAAAGTTTCGATAAAGTATCATAAACAAATAAGATTCCCAAACATATTTATTTCTTTGAACAAGTTGCATTGGATAATCAGTATTAAAACACAACATATTTCATCACAATGCTTGATAACAAAAATGCATTTCAACATGTAAAACATTGACGCTTATCTAACTTAAACGTAATTACAAAATTGTTTCCATGGCAAGGTAAAAAGAAAAACAAGTTTTTACCTGAACGTAATATCTAAATGAACAAAACATTAAATTGAAAAAAAGATTTTTACTAAACGATGAGGAAAATGAAGAGCAAAAATACATATCCACACACACTTTGACATGATCGTAAGTTAATACTGCTAACTGAAATCAGGCAGTTACCAACAATGTTATGTTTTCATTATCCATATCATGTTCAAGACTAAAATTTTTCGTATATTTTGCACATATTCTACCGCGGAAGACCCCAAAGAAACTTTGGTATATATAGCTAGATACAGCACCAACACAGTCTTTTAATGAACAATTTGAATTAATTTATACAATTAAATAGCACCAGTTCACTTTAAATATCAAATTAAAACAAAACTATGCAGCTTTATAATATGAGAGAATGACTGCATTTTGATACGTCGCTCTAATTACGAAAAGAATAAATTAATTATATCAGAAATGATTATAAATAAACAGTCTATAAATGAATCAAATAGACAACATTCAGTCGTTCAGAGGAAAGATATAATTTGTCAATTGATACTTTGAGGGAGATTGGTTCAGTGGAAATTACAAAATTGATATATTTTGAAGACAACAGACGCCAAGCCATAGTTAACAACAGACCTGCGGGCAAGTGTAACTTATATAATTGAATTCTACTGTTACTGACTTCAGTATTTTCCACTAAGGCAATAAGTCAGGTTTGATTTATAAAGGAAAAAAAAAACTTCAAATATAACCCTAATCTCTTTGTTATTAACAAGCTGTGAATGCGATGTAGAGTTTGAACATCTGTTATGAAGGATTTCATAATATTTCAAATGAATTTGGTTGAAAACGACTTTATAAAGAGGTTATATTTATTTTGATATCGCAAAGTTATTTCAGGAATTATAAACTATGAATCAAATTATCAACTGTTATGTATGGAATGTTTACTAGATTATTTTGTTATTACCGAAAACATAAAGCAAACAAATCGAACTGACGTAAAAATATTTAAAAAAACCCATAAAATCATTTAAAATTAAGCTGTACAGGAAATATTGATTATATTATAATAATCTGACATATATAATGCAGTACTCAAACAAAACTTTGTAAAATGACTTTATTGAACCCTTACGTGAAAATAATTCTCTAGTAGCCTTGTTATTGACACCATGAAACACAATTCTGAACATGACCACTTTTGCCGATCCGTATACTCACAATGAAATAATCACGAGAAGATACTATTTGCATGAATGTATATATAATTTCCGATTTGCGGCAAATAAACCAAGTTATCATTGGAAAAAAAAAACAAAAAAACTGATGCATCAGGGTAAATATAAGAAACAAAGGGCTATTGTCATTACCAACTTTTAAAATCTAGATGAACATCATAACGTTTACAATAAAGGTCGTTCATTGATAAAATAACTGTCTGGATTACCATTTTCATTTAATATATTGTTTTGAAAATAAAAAGGACATAATTCGAGGCCATACTACAAGATGAAGTTGTAATATGACTGATGCTGGTGCTTCGTAAATCATGGTTATCTTTCTTCCCGGCTTCCAGACAATGTATCACCCTACTCAGCTACCTGTAAATTTACGTATAGTGGCAACAAATATAACGTAAAATGTGTTTGACCTGACCTTCATAACTGTGACCTGTCATTAATGTTCGAACTGACATTGATAAATTTGAATTGTTTTTTTTTATTCTGCTGACAGTCATCTTAATCTTTTGCAACGATCATGAAAATCGCATAAATTTACTCCAATTAATTGGTAATCATGTTTTGTGATAAAAAAATATTCTAAAAAACCAAATGATCGACAAAATGTGAAAGTGTCGTTTGCTGTTCTCCATTGCCAAGAATAAACCACATGAACTCTCGATAACAATGTATCTGTAAAAAGCGTATGGATATTTCCAAGAATTAGTATGTTTCAGTAAGCCCATCAGTGCTAATGATATAGATATACATTGTATATCAGAAAGTATGAAAGGTTGATAATTTCGAACCCCGTTCGTGTATTAAGGTAGGTTCGACTCCGATAATTATTGACAAGGATTGCCAGTTTTCTTGCCGAAGTTCAGTGGTTCTCTGTGGGCACTCCGGCATTCCTTCCAATAAAAACTGCCTGCTACAATATAGGGAAATGTGCTGAAAATAGTGTTCAACACTTACAATCAATCATAGGCGGATTTAATCAGATGCTATTTCGACAGGCATGTTCAGAAACTAGACAGATATGAAAGTGCCATCATTTACCAGATAATCTTAAATGTTGATGTTACAAATAGTTGCATTATCGCCACTCTTTGCATTCATATTTTCAAAAACGACTAATACTCGTGATAATTTTTACCTAATTAAATTTGAATATAAATGTCTGATCAATTTTGTTAAGAATAACTCAATGCATATTCGAGAGTTTTTGATAGATTCTGTACAATATTTTTTCAGGAAAAAAACTATCACACAAAATTTATGATTCATAAAATGATCAAAATCAAGACATGATAAAAAGTGAAACAAAATCTGAGGTATGCATGGTCTAGTTGTTAATGTCTAGTCTTAATTTGTACGTTTAGTTATGGAATAGTTTGTACATGTATATGTTTAATACTTTTAAATGTATCTTTGCATGAATTCACATCAAAATATATGCCATGTCATATTGGACGTCCAAATTTATGTATACATTTTAACTGAAGAGAATATCACAAACAATGCATATACTAGTACTGGCATTAAAAATGTCGCTGTCCTTTTCTTTGCCTTCTCACAATTCGTCCTAATATGTAGAAGACCTGATTTATAAACATGTCCTTGAGCTTCATATTCAACAACAAATTTGGCATCTAGGATTGCTGACTGTTAACCTGCAAGAAAATCGTTTTAAAAGAATGTAGATAAGAAAAGGGAAACATTTGTTCATGATTTACTACCGATGCTAGATACTTTTTGTCAAAAATCTTAAGTCGCAAAAATCAAACAATATCATGGTAAACAACAGTCTACAAAACACTACATTGATAACTGAAGACTGAGCTACGCGAACCCCACCAAAACCCGGTGGTAATCTCAGGTGCTCGTGGGGTTGGGAGGGTGTGTGTGATCAGATCTTGGTCTACATGTGGTACCCGCCGTGTTGATCATGGTAATTACACATTTTGTGAAAGACTCAATGGGGTATCACAATTAGGGAAAAGAGGAGTGATTACGACAATTAGAACATATTCATGATCATCTGTGACATATGCCATAACCTTCAAACAAATCATGATGGTGGCTGTAAAACTTTCGATGGGACGACTTCAACTTCAAAAGTAGGAACTCACGGTTCCATAGCTTCATTGCTAGAAGCGTCCTTCTATCATGAAAATCATGAAAGAAAATGCAAGCCCTGGAATATCGTTTCAACTGGGAGATTTATACTTTTCGCCATATGCAGGCGCTGATTGAATGTCGCTACATAGTAATGAAACGTTTATCAATAAGAAACCTGAAATCATCTCTTTTTTTAAAGAACAAAGACGTTTACCGGACCAATAAGAGTGACGATTGCTTTTCATGCGGATATTAAATAAAGGCAACAGTAGTATACCGCTGTTCGAAATTCATAAATCGATTGAGAAAAAAATAAAACCGGGTTACAAACTAAAACTGAGGGAAACACATCAAATATAAGAGGAGAACTACGACACAACAGAAATACAACATTAAAATGTAACACACACAGAAACGAACTATAATATAACAATGGCCATTTTTCTGGCTTGGTACAGGACATTTTAAGAAAAAAATGGTGGGTTGAACCTGGTTTTGTGGCTAGTCAAACCTCCCGCTTTTATGGCAATGTTAAATATAACATTAAAATGATAACATTACATGACAGGACTACAATACAAGTAAATGGGAGAACATATAGGACAAAGAAACATACGAATAATAGCTAACAAAAGGTACCAGGTTTAAAATTTAATACACAAGACGCGCGTTTCGTCCACAAAAGACTAACCAGTGACGCTCAGATAAAAAAAGTACGAAAGCCAAAACAAGTACAAAGTTGAAGAGCATTGAGGACCAAAAGTACTGGGTCGATACCTCTGCTGGTGGGCTATCAGTCCCTGAGGGTATCATCAGCTCAGTAGTCAGTATTTCGGTACTAACATGATTTATAACATACATCTAAAATTGCCCGTTTATAAATTTTGAAATTATACAGAAACTAAGGTTTCAACTCCCTCAGGCAAAGTTGGCCTTTAGATGGATTTGGCTATTTTTTTTTAGGTTCTATTTGGTTTATAGCTCTTCAACGTTTTCTGGTCTTATACATCCTTGGCTTTCAAATATTTGGCTTTGAGCGTTCCTGGTGAAGGTAAATCCAGAAAAGCGCTTCGAACGCATGAAATTTATAAAGGTTGTTTTAAATGTTTTTAACAGCACTGGGTCGATACCTCTGCTGGTGGACTATCAGTCCCCGAGGGTATCATCAGCTCAGTAGTCAATTTCGGTACTGACATGATTTACAACATACTATCTAAAATTGTCCGTTTATAAATTTTGAAATTATACAGAAACTAAGGTTTCAACTCCCTCAGGCAAAGTTGGCCTTTAGATGGATTTGGCTATTTTTTTAGGTTCTATTTGGTTTATAGCTCTTCAACGTTTTCAGTCCTTATACATCCTTGGCTTTCAAATATTTGGCTTTGAGCGTTCCTGATGAAGGTAAATCCAGAAAAGCGCTTTGAACGCATGAAATTTATAACGTGTTGTTTTCAATTTTTTTTTCCAAAAAGTTGTGCCAAATACGGCTAAGGTTATATGTCTGGGATAAGAAAATCCTTAGTATATAGAATAATTCATACTTTTGCAAACAGTAAATTTATAAAAATGACTATATAATAGATATACATGATAACACCAAAGTGGTGACTAACTACAGAATAAAAATACGGCTAAGGTTATATGTCTGGGATAAGAAAATCCTTAGTATATAGAATAATTCATAATTTTGCAAACAGTAAATTTATAAAAATGACTATATAATAGATATACATGATAACACCAAAGTGGTGACTAACTACAGAATAAAAACGGATACATAAAACAACATGAACCATCACATAAAAATTCACAGCCGAGTTAGCCAAAGAGATCAACGCAAAAAAAAGTGACGTCACATTTGAATTTCTGAAATTTCCCCAAAATAGGATAGAATTAAGATAGAATTCAAGATTTGGTTTATAATACGCATATAACATTTATTAATAACAATGAAAATAACAATACTAATTAATATAAAATGTGGTAGTAATTAGATAATTAATAGTATTATCTAGCTATGTCGGTGTTTCTTCTAAATCAAACTGTAAACCAAATATATCGTATAAATTTAGTTGACCCAAACTAAAATCTAATTAATGAACTGGGTGATTAATTATCTTTACCATAACACACGAATATAACAGAAAATAATAAGATTTACAACTACAAACGATAAGACATTTGACAAAATCCGATGAGAATAACAAATATAACATCAAGACTAAATACATGAATTTTGGATAGAAAAGTACCATGACACGTTTTTTAAAGTTTTATTATTTTTGTAAAGATTTAATCGAGCCAACCCAATATTACAAGCACAATGTTTTGACAAAATTAACGGCCTTGCAAATTTGTTTATTGCAACTTTGGTGGAAGCTAGTTTTTAATAAGCAATTCAATATCTTATTAAATATACCTAACTTGGTTACTACTTACATTATTAACGATTTTCAAAAATTTATATCCCATCCTGATGTTTCATCTGGTGGAACTTCCGAATTTTTGGGATAGTTGTCAAAATTGCTAAAATCTGCTGACCCTTTAATCTGTAATAAAACATTTAAACACATAAAGTGATTTAATTCAGTCAAAGAAGAGAAAACTACTAGTACATAAAATGAAAATCTTTATAGTATTAATTCGTGTGCAGTCTTGACCGTCGTTTGCTGATGTGCTGATGTGCTACCGTGATATCGTTTATTGTATGTATTAGACAATGTTATTGAATGAGGTTATGGAAGCATATGCATTATATTTATCTCCCAATCATGCATATAAATGATAAACCAATATTATTAAGTACAATACATCAACATGCATAATTTCATAATATTAACTAATAACAATGATTTTAACCACCTATTTGGATTACTTATTCACATTAATTCCCTAAAACCTATCAGAAAATATGCTATCATCAGGATTATTACAATTATTAAATGAGAATTTGTCATAACGCGCGAAAATCGAACACACCAGTATTTAAATTCTTATGTTTTGTAGATGATTTTCAGATTTAAGTGAAGTGAAAGCAAATATGCGTATTAAGGGTGTAATTCCCCTAATTCGATTTATTGTTGTCTCAAGCCTGAAAATATAATGTCTGCACCGGTTCCATTATTATGTATATTGCATTACCGCAAATTGACAATGAAAAAAATTGACGCCCATTCACGTTTCGCGTTTTTTTCTCCTCAAATAAGTCAGCGGTCACTTCAGCTGATATAATTGTGAAACTCTTTTAAAGACATCCATTCTAGTCATCAAAATGACAGGGGATAAAAAGGGCTTAAAATATAAAGCTTGTATGAACATCTAAACCAAAATAGTCCCAACAGAACAGCCAAAGAAACTTATGATCAACTATTTTGGTATGAGCTGAAACCTTCCAAATCCAGAAATGCGCTTCAAAATAGTCAAATTCTGAAAAATTTACTTTGTTTTTCTGTTTTTCAACTGTAGGTACCCGAAACCTTTGAATGCTTGAAAAAAGCAATGGTGTATTTCATCAATTTTGAATATTCTCAGTTGCAAAACTTGGAAATTTCGGAATTGCGGTTACAACTACATAGGACAAGGTATAATAAGGGCTATTCCTTCAAATACTCGTTTGCTTTTATTTTCTCCCAATGTTTTAATACATCTTTGGCTTTAAAAAATCTGGCCTGATGCATTCCTGATTACGGTTAATCAAAATTACTTCAATACAGGAGTCTGTAAATGTTCCTTTGTTGTGCAGTTAACTACAACCTACAATAATGTTTTTTTTTTACAGCAAAAGGAAACAACATAAATAAATTCACATAACTATTACCTTTGGTACAATTGGAGGAACCATTGATCGAGTTTGTAGACCTTCCCAATCAAAGCCTTGAAACCATCTACAACAGAATGCAATATGAATAAAATTATCAGCTGTATTTCGTTTTGTTAATTCTTAAAACATTTTTAAAAAAGGCGTCATGTTGCCTACTGTAATTTGCAAAAACTTTATACAAACACATATATGAGATCATAATTGCCTGAATTAAAGTCACATCATTCCAACATTTAAAGTAAATGATGATGATGCATTACGTAATACCATATTAAGAAATCACATACGCAATAGAAGGGTCCTGAAGTCTCAATTAACTCCACAAAACAACTATAGAAATCTTTTTGACGGTGTTCCCAAAAGATTACCAAAGAATTAAAAGACGATTGCACTCACACTTTTAAAGCCTTTTGCAAATCAAATAATGATATCAGTAGCATTTTGCACCATTTGAAAATTTCTCAGAATGCTTTGTTAATGTCTTGTTGAGTAATTTATCTTACTTGTTAAAGATATCGAAGATAGCATCTAAATGTTGTCTAGACCGTAAATGGTTTTTATATTACTCACTTGTGCTTTTTAATCTCATTAATGTTGCCTTTTCCGTATCCTAATCGCTCAACTGGACTATCTCGACAAAGCTTCTTTATCAACATTGTAGCAGTTTTACCAACTCTTCTGGGAAATTCTACAACGTCAATTCCTTTCAGGATTATGTTGTATGTTTTCATTGGATCAGACCCAGCAAACGGAGGACTAAAATGAAAAGATGGAATGTTAAATCAGTCGATATACCCCCTCCCCCAACCACCATCACCACCACAATATCAGTAATCGAAACAACCAATATATTGGTAAAACTACTGCATCAAGCATCTTCAAGCAGGTAATACAATTAGATTCGCGATATATAAGGGGGATTATTTTTTAAACCGATACAAAAGAGCAAAGTCAAGCATGACATCTATATTTTTTCTTGTCAGCAGGTATAGAACCTAAACATTTCCACAACTCAAGGGGGAAAACAAGATAGGGATATATACTGGAAGCATAAAGACAATCAATCAGTTGATCCCTCAATTAAGCGTTAAACATTATTAATTATATTGACGCATACACCTAAATGGATAAAGACGCATACACCTCCTAAATGGATAAAGACCCATATACACCTCCTCAACGGATAAAATTTAAGTTTGAATGTCTCTTCTTAAAAAGTTGAGAAACTCAAAAGAAAATCGGGATATTACCATTACATACAAAATTAACTTGACTGTAACAGTCACACAAAATCTCTATACATTTCAGTTGATTGGTAACTGCTTTACATTCCAGTTGTAATCATTACGCGCATATAAACATGACAATGACATGCTGATGTAACATAAGTTTACCCAACAGACTGACACGTTGTGATTGTATATTGCTACCTAATAAGGAGATCAATGCTAGAAGACACAACGCCAACTAGTGTCAGCTCTTAATCCTGAATACAGTGTACACATCGGAGATGAACCATGTACCAATTTCAAAGTTTTCTTTTTGATCAGGTTGGATCAACGACTTTTTGAACACGAAGCGAAGACGCTTCCACCACGACACTACCAACGCGATTAAGAATATTTAAATTTTCAGATTGGTAAATGCTAGATTTATGTAAATCATAGATTAGTATGACCAAAAACTCCAAAACATTTAGGTCAATTCAAGAGTTAAGCCTTAACTCAAAGAAAGTTTTTAAGTTTTTGATTTCCAAATAGTTTGGCCCCGAGTATCACTGCTTACATTAATTGTCGAAAAGCGCATTTGATGCAGTAACATTGGTACCGTTAATACTACTACTACATAAACTAAAATATAGCAGCAGACATCACCAAAACTAAAGCTTGGGCGTTATTGAAAATAGAGAAAATCTATATATTCCTTAGCACTGTCAATCGAAATGACCATATATTCTATTAAAATATAAAAAGATTGGATATTCTAAATGCAACAAATGATAATTAATCTAAAATGAATATTTTTCATCAAAACTTATAGAGAGAGAAAGCAAACAGCAGAAGGTGAAAGATAACATTCTTTCTGTTGGTTAACCAATATCAACACGGGGCCTTTTATAGACGACTATACGGTATGGATTTTCTCAATGTTGAAGGCCGTACTGTTGCCTTTAATTGCTTACATCCACTTCATTTGAACTTTGGTGGATAGTTGTCTCATTGGCAATCATACCATATCTCCTTATTTTTATATAAAGATATGACATAAAACAACCACTGAGTTTATTAGTTTTGTTAAGCTCTTAACCCTCTACATTTTAATATCGAACAGTAGACAAACATAACACATAAAAGAACATAGAATGATTATCAGTACAGAAAAAAACCCACTTAACTCTTAAATAACGGTGACTTATCTAAAGAACTATTTCAAGTGTGGATGTTCTGTCGTTCTAAAGAGTCACCCATGATTCCAAAGATTTAAAAGGTTTTTGAGTCTCGTTTAATGTCTCGAGTCAAGTAATGCAGACATGTTTTACCTGATACAAGAGAATTATTGGTATCATTGGAAAAATAACAGACAATAAATAACATTCATTATTTGGCTAGACACAATCCTCACAAATGAAAAATGACAAACTGTTATAGAAACGAAGTATCAATTTTTCTTCCAGAATGAAAATGACAGATTGAAAAGAGAATACAATCTTTGAGGAACCAAACACAGACATCCAACAGAATAATTGTATAAAAATTTCTGAAAGCGTCCTTAATATCATACCAATTCCCTAAAGGAAATCCAAAATCATTTTGGTGACAGCAATTTATTTGGTTCTGGTATATTGGGAAATTCAAAGAAATTTCTTTCATTTCAAGGTGACAGATTCAACTGATATTAACAATAACGTATGTCTTCGAAAATCTTATTAAGTCATTGATCGGCCCTTAATGTATATTGATTCAACATATTTATTCTGGTTATTTATGAACCAATTAAGAATTCTCTGACAGAAACTCCAGGAGGTGGCAAACCACAGACGATATATTTGAAGTAAGGGAATTTTATTCTTTTTAAATTAGCAATATGAGACGATTGTATCGGAATATACAATCTGCCGAAGAATAAGAAAGTATATATATATGTGAACTGACTGCAGCAAAGACGATGTGAAGTCATAAAACGACAATAACCTTTCCCCAATATATTTGTCACATGATATAAAACAAAAATGTAAAATATATCTTGGTATCCTTTCCTTAAACGAATTCGATTGTGAATAATTTCAAAGTTGTTGACGCAAACAGAAGGTAAGGAAGTTTCGGAAATAATTCAATCATACACTTGAATTGTTTTAAATTTGTCATTTCGGGGCCTTTTATAGCTGACTATGGGGTATGGGTTTTACTCATTGTTGAAGGCCGTACGGTGACCTGTAGTTGTTAATTTCTGTGTCATTTGGTATCATTGGCAATCATTCCACATCTTCTTATTTTTATAATAACTAGTGACATTACAATTTATAATTGGAAAGTATTTCGAAGCATCCTTAGTTTAGATAATGAAGACGACGCACGGTTCTGTTTTAATCTACTGTTGGAAAGTTTAAAATTAATGTGTAAATTACATGTTAACTATGCAGTGATTTTTGTTTTTTTGTTTTTATTTAGAATAACTGATCAATTCTTTGCTAAAAAAATCTTATTTATCTATCAAATGGATAATCTTTTTTTTACAGAACTGCATTGAGTATGTTAATAAAGGATTTGTTTCTGTCATTTGGAAAAACTATGTTTATTTCTTTCAGTTTAATGACTTTAGGTTTTTAGTGTATAAAAGGAAGAAAACACTATGTTTATAATAACCAATACGATCAAATTCATTCTATAGGAGTGACAAACAGTTACACAATAGTATTTAATAATAATACCTTCCAGTGAGCAGCTCAAACATGAGAATACCCAATGACCAGTAATCAGCAGCCCGATCATGTCCCCTGTTCAAAATAATTTCTGGGGCAACGTATTCTGGCGTACCACAGAAAGTCCATGTTTTCCGACCTTGACCAATTTTTTTGGCAAACCCAAAATCTACCTGTAATGAGAGATTACCAAAGTAAAACTATTGCGTTCAGTTTTTACATACATAATAGTCTTCAAATTTTGACACTACCATATAGCATTTCTGTTTAAATAGCAGAGCATGGTCAAATATAAAAGTAATAATGAAATACTTTATTTAAGGACGGTTACACAGTGAGCTAATACAACTCATGTTCGTTCCCTGAGGCCATAACAAAAGCAACGAAAAACTAATATAACAGGCAGTACTAACCAATTTGACATATCCATGGCTGTCTAACAACAAATTTTCTGGTTTCAGATCTCTATAAATTATTCCTCTGTCATGTAAATATCTAAAGGCTTCTATTACGCATGAAATGCAAAATCGAGCAGTAATCTCATCAAAACAACCTCTGAAAAATAAAAAAATTGCTTATTCAAGATTTTGAAACCATATTGAGTTAAAAATAATGGTATACTGATCTTTTATAAAGAAATTACTAAGAAACTAAAGTTCTAACTCCATCAGGTAAAGTTAACCGGCTATTCTTTTATGTCCTTTTTGGTAATAAAGCTCCAAACGTTTCGACGTATTTATACATCCCAGATGGTTGGGTTTGAGCATTCCTGATGAAGGTAAATCCCTCAAAGCGCTTTGGATGCACAAAATTTAAAAGGTGTTATTTTTCTTTTCAAGTAATTATTTTATAAGATTATGCAACCGTACAGAGGGGAGGTAAAGAACAGAACTAATAGGAAATGATTTGTCATTTTTAAAAATAAATTAAAGATAAACAACAAAAATAACAGGAAATGAAAGTAAAGTGTTTTTTTTTAACAAATACAGATACATTAAGCATCATTTTGCTGCAAGGCAGAGTTTAATGGTTTAATCAATTAAACGCAATACATTCAAGATGTAGTAATTGACAGAATTTTAAGCTTCGATTTTGAAATGCTGTGTTAAATAATTCTACTTTATTCATTTTATTATGTTTTCATTGTATAAAATATATTATAGTTAGTTGCGGTTGAAATTTCTACATTTTTTTCAGTTTTATGATTACGTTACTAAAATATACAACTGGTTGTAGATATGATCATTTGCTGAGAGAAGCCACATAGACTGAATTTATGTCTAAAATGTTTAAGTTTAAGTCAAAATGTTCTGTTTGTACCTGAATTGCCTTCTGTAAAGTCTTAAAAAAAGGAACTCTAACAAAAGTGCTGAATTTTCAGATATTTATCTTGATTTATTATTAACAATTTCATATTCACAGCTGATAAGTTTAGTAAATAATAAAAACAACCACACTTTGATGGTAATTCCTCAGGCGAAAAAGAGGTAGAAGTTACCAAAAGGGATATAAAACCCGTAGAAAACAGTCAACGCCTTGGTAAAAATTAAATGAAGGCGAGAGAAAAAAAAAACAACAGTCCATGCTAATGTTAAATGATTTAAACTAATCTTTTTTTTCCATCCCTTCTAATTATACACTCTTCTGCACATTTATCCCTCATTGACTTCCCCTAGGTTTGAGTCCTAGTGTTCTCGGAGAAGATTAATCCAGAAATGCGCATCACACGCAGCAGTATTCAATGTTTTACCGATCTCATTTACATAATCAAATTTTATGACCGGAACTAATAAGAAAAGTATGTACAAATTAATATATCATCACATTTTACAAATTACCGATTCTCGAAAGATCAAAAAGTGGAACTTTAAAATGAATGAATATCCAAAATTGTAATTTCACTGAAATAAAAACTAGATGTGTTCTCATCTGTAGCATTACTGCAAAAAATTTATAAACCGAAAATAAACCCCTGCAAGTCATCATCATACACTAATGTACCAAAAATCTGCTTAAGATATTCAAGCGTTACAATTAAGTCCGGATAAGTACAATTTTTAAATTTCAAGCGCATTAATTCCCCCAAAAGTCGGTCATGCGGAACAAAATACAAAATCGACCCGTAAGTCATCATTATACACTAATGTAAAAAAAAAAAATCAGATCAATATCTGCAGGCATCAGAACAAAAGTCCGGACAACTACTTGATGACGGAAAGATGGAATGACGGACGTGGGTAACACTATATAAATACCTCGGCCACTCAGTGGCAGGGCACACACATATATATGATATATTTTGAATGAATGTTAATATAATTAAAATGAAAATGGAAATGGGGAATGTGTCAAAGAGACAACAACCTAACCAAAGAGCAGAAAACAGCCGAAGGCCACAAACGGGTATTCAAAACAGCGAGAAAATCCCGCACCTGGAGGCGGGCTTCAGCAGGTCCCTTAACAAAAACGTGTACTAGTTCAATGAAAAGGGACGTCACACTAAACTCCAAAACATATAAATGAACTAAAATTAAAAAAACATACAAGACTAACAAAGACCAGAGGCTCCTGACTTGGGACAGGCGAAAAACTGCTGCGGGGTTAAACATGTTTTGTGAGATCTCAACCTTCCCCCTATACCTCTAGCAAATGCAGAATAGACAAACACACAGCAATACTCACAGTAAAACTCAGTTTAAAAGAAGTCAGAGTCCGATGTCAGAATAGGTAACAAAAAAAAAGAAACTAAGCAAAATGATAATGATACAGAAATTAACAAAGGACTACTAGCTGTTACTGACATGCCAGCTCAATTAAACTGATTGAAAGATTATGTCTTCGTCATATGAATAACAAGCACAATCCCTCCCGTTAGGGGTTTAGTATCATACCATCATAAAATATATAAGAAGAACATAACCCGTATCATGCCAAAAACTCGTTTTAGAATAAATGTGTTTATTTCCGATGCAAAGACCCTATGAGTGAATCAATATTAATACCAAAAATATGCCATCTTTAATGACCTGACAACAGTATCGTAACTATATCCCTTCTGAATAAGTCTGTTTAAAGGTTTGGTTAGCTTTTGAGGTGAATGTCGACATTTTTGTGCTTTGTATAGAATATTACCATAAAAGATTGGATGTGAAATACCTGACCGTATAAGATGTCTGCATGTTGATTTATATATACGAATGATGTCCTTGTACCGATGATAAAATTGAGTAAATGTTTTGACTAGTTTGTGATATCGAAAACCCTGGTGTTATAATTTTTCAGTAATACAGAGGTTTCTTTCGTTAAAATCAAATACGGTGTTACATACTCGAGCGAATCGAACAAGTTGAGATATATAAATACCATAAGATGGTGACAAGGGAACGTCACCATCTAAAAATGGATAATTAACAATAGGAAATGAAAAATCATCTCTCTTATCATACATTTTGGTATTAAGCTTCCCGTTAAAGATATAGATATCAAGATCTAGGAAAGGGCAGTGTTCATTGTTAGTATTAGCTTTATTTAAAGTCAGTTCAGCAGGATGAATCTCTTTAGTGCACATACTGAAGTCGTCATTATTGAAGGTAGGAATGCCCTTAACCGTCAGACGTCAAACGGTGATTTTCGGCTACCGTTAGCGTCAAATTGGTTATAATTTTATCGTGATTCGTCAAAATATTCTTATCGTGATTCGTCAGTGGTCTCAAATAATTAATCGTTACCGTTATTTTTGGAAAGAATTTAACGTGATTCGTCAAAATCGGTCGATTATTTTACCGTCATAAAGAAAGCGTTCATTGTATCGTCATGCACCAAAAACTACCGTTAACGTCATTTGGCCAGATTTTTAAGCGTTATTCGTCATGAAGGTACCCACATTACAAACCTCATTATTGAGAGCCAATATAACATCTAAATATCTAAAAGTGTTATTAAATTTTTGTATCAGATGTTGTTTCGATGGGTCTTTGCTTATTTAGCTTGAATTCCAATGTGTACTATGTTGTCGTTAATATCAAGTGAATCAGGTGTCAATTTCTGCTAATGTACAGATATCTGATGGCTATACGTAAAAATCCAACTTATTAAACAGGTTCTGATTGATGTCTTTCCGGCTCAAATTATAATTGCAATTTTATATGGATAAAATGATAGAATCAACAGGCTAAGCTCCTAGTTAACCTCAGGTAATATTTCATTCAATCAAACATCTAATTCATCAATCTGCAAGTCTTGAATATAGGAAACCGTTATTCATTACAAGCTATTATCAACAGCAAACATATCATATCAGGTGTTATGCCTAAAAATGGCAGTACATTAACACATATGTGTGTGGAATTTCATATTGACGGAATGTATACTATTTTACAAATGTCGTCTGATAAGGTAAAACATCATGCACATATTTGGTATGGGATCATATTGTTAAATCTGTAGTTTGCTCTACAGTGTTTATTATTTGACTGGTTTGTCTTTGCGTCTTGTTTGTTTTGTCAATGGTGTTGTTTGTCTTTTTTGGCCTATGTTTTTAACCTCCCCTTTTTAACAATTTTTGTATTTTTCAATAAATAAAGAAATTCTTTATTCCTTATATTAAGTTAAAAAGCTTACCTGTCTCTGAGTATTGTCCATAATTCTCCACCAAGGCACACTTCCATCAGCATATATACATATTTAACATCTTTAAAAGTTTTATATAATCTGTAATTACATAATTTTGATGACAATAACTGTCGGAAAAAAACATTTCTATAAAATTTCTTAAAACAAAGCACGGTTTCGTATTTTTTTTTGACAAAGCGTGTCTGTCATTGTGGGCGTCTTACGCCATCATTGCACAAACTAGCTACATATTAGCTAGTATTAAATTACTTAATGATACGACATGAATTAAATAATACTTTTTTATAAACATGTATTTGTTATTTACAAAATTATAAATTAACTGATTTTCACATTGTCTAATAGTGAACTGTTTTAAGAATCCTTCTATTTACTGTTTTTAAAAATAAATTTTATAGTTTCCGAATTAAACGAAAAAAATGTACCCAAGAAATAAAAACTGAGGGAATTGCATACAATCCAAAAGGAGTAAAACCGGATGATAAATCAGAAGCAGAGAATTAATCATAAACGTCGACACTCTTGAAACGAACAAAGGGGTCACTATGAAATTAAAGTATCCATCAACATTCTCGTCTGTCTAAACACGTTTGACATGTAGAAACCTACGTATGTTTAGAGCTAGGGAGGACAAAATGAATAAAAGCAAATGAGGATGGCACATATTTAAGACAGTACAATACCCAAACAGACATCTAGATACCCGCATACATTCCTTAATGATATTTGATATTTTCATAAAAACAGGGCTTCATAATAATTAGTAATCGTTTGCATCAATTAAGGAGCTTATTTCAATAAAATCCAAAAAAAAGTATGAGCGAATATACGTGACTTTATGAGTATTGATTCATTCAAACATTAGGCACCAACATCAACAAAACCAACCAATAAATTGATTTAAATTGACAAAAATCTGATGGACCAATCTTATAAATCAAAACAACTGATATAGCTGTTATAACTGATAACAAATCATAAGAAATTGCCTTCCAATATCTATCAACACTATGCACTTGATAGTTAAACTACATCATGCAATTGTAATATTCAGTCTAAATAAAAATATATAACTTATTACCTTGCTATAAAGAGTGAGCGTGCTTCTGACATTATTTTCTTTTCTGAATATATATGTTCCTGTTGTCGGGTATCAACAATATGTTTCTTTTTCAAACACTTTAATGCAAAAGTGTTAGACCGATCGGCTGTTAACTGTACCTAAAATAAGGAAATACAAAATATGCCACATATAAGCAAAGATCAATCATTCTATTTCTTATTATAATTATTGTGGTTATGCCTAACGAAAGCTTGCCAATAATCCTAGAACAAAATAATATGATTTTTCCCCTAATTCGTCGGAATCGTAAAGGACTTTACAGAATAAACCAGTCGAGTAGTTTAGTAGATTGTGCAATTGCTCATTGGGCATAACATTTACAGTAAATCCGTTAAGAATGACACAACCTCAACTGGCAAATGGGTTTTGAACTGGAGAATATAGTTTTATAGAAGTTATCAACAGACAAATACCAACATCTCCTAGAAGTGAAAGTGGTATTCTTAAAATTCATAACCGAAGCATCCTTTTTATGGATGCATACCATCTAAGATGTTGCTTTTATCTTTATCGTTCGTGTTTTGTCCTCTTTGTTTTAGTTTTCAACACCCTTTTTGGCATATTTAGTCGGTATCTTCTTTCTGTTATGTATTATTGATTGGTATATTATTTTTCAGATATTTTTTTAACCATCCCAGGTTGGTTCATTAAAACATTTCTTGTGTTTAATCGGATTTTCTTGCAGCATGACAATCAATATTAAATGGAACTAAACGTTGGCTTATCATGTGAAAGCATTACAAGGACAAGTTTAGTATAGAACGATTGATAACGATATAATGAACAAGTAATACAAAAATGTAATTCAAGATATTTTCATTAAGTAACAATTAATCATTACCCACTTAGACGACCAATTTAGAAAAAAATGGTTGAAAGTTATTTATACGAAATCAATAGGGTCAATGTTAATTCAGAGATAAATATACAGGAATGCTATATTTAATTGGGGGGATTAAATGACATCTCTGACTGACAATGAAAGCTTATCTTAGTATAATTAATCGTTATTATGCTATAATTACTACATTAGCAACGTGCTGTAATATGATCATCACATCTAGCTAAGTTCCGGATCGATCATGCAGATAACTCTATCGCGCAGTACATACGCGTAATAGTATCAAATAAAACAAAGATAACATATTCAATCAATTTAACGCAAAGTTGAAATGTAAGACAAGCAATACAGGTATCACGACAGTTTAAATACTCTCAATTTCCATATAGTGATACGTCCAAGGAATCCTCTAAGGGTCCATTTCATTACCACTTATATAGTGATACACCAGAGGAAGCATCCTTTGGTCTATATCATTACCATTGATACATTGATACAACATGGATCAGTATACTTACCAGTTATATATTTCGTGTTTGGTTACTTGTATATACAGTAGTAGTCGATGCGTCGGCATTGTTCATGTTTTATTCAATACATAACAAACAAACGTTTCAACTCCCTTATGCAACAATGACCAAAGATGGTTTTGGCTATTATTTCATGTCCTTTTTGGTCATACAGCTCTTAAACTGCTTCGGTTCTAATACATCCTTTTTGTTAAATATCCGACTTTGAGCATTTCTGATGAAGATCAAAATCCAGTAAAGTGCTTCGGACGCATGATATTTATAAAGTGTTGTTTTTTTTCTTAGTAAAATTCAACTAACAACAAAATAAGATGAAAAGAATTACTTGGAGCAAAAGAAACAAATGGCTATATACAGCCCCTTATGCATTTTTGGAATGCCACTGTACGAGTTTGGAAGGGATTTTTTGGTACAAAATTAGTATCTGGACTAAACTTCTATGGCTGACATTTGTCAGAAATACACGGAGCAAAGATCATTATGTAATCCTGATTAGTAATAATAAGTGAAATATGAATCACTGGAAATCTGGTAGAATGTCCTTGCAAAATTTCCGAAGACATTATCATATCAATGAACTGAGGATACATCTTAACTTCTTATCACAACCCAGTTATGCCATAATCATCACAATATAAATAAGAAGGTGTGGTATGAGTGCCAATGAGACAATTATCCATCCAAGTCACAATGTGTAATAAAAAGTAAACAATTATAGGTCAAAGTACGGCCTTCAACACGGAGCCTTGTCTCACACCGAACAGCAAGCTATAAAGAGTAACACATTTCAAACAGGAAAACCAACGGTCTAATCTATATAAAAAACGAAAAACGAGAAACACTTATGAACCACACCAACAAAAGACAACCACTGAACAACAGGCTCCTGACTTAGGACTGGTGCATAAAAATGCAGGCTTATAATCAATGGAAAGGGTAGAATCAATGAGAATATTGTTACTAAGTGCCAGAGTCCAGACACAAAGCAAAGTAACTCTTCCATTTGATTGCATATGAAGAGATAATACACGGGATGAATATATGAAACCAAATACATTGATTGACTTGTGGAAGAGGGTTCTAGAGGTTCTATAGAAGTTAAGAAGACAGCTAAAGCAGACAAGGAAATAATTTTGACTTCTAAACATTGTAATAAGAACGCTGTAAACTATTCATTTAAATGTGTACATAGAGATCAGCACAACTATGTAAGGGATAACACTCAAGGCTAGAAAGAGAGCAGTGAAGATGGTTATCAAATATCAGAACATTTGAACATGATTTTATTTCTTCCATAAAATCCGCAATACTTAGTAAAAATAAACCAATTAAAAAAGAGATATTAAAAGACAGAACATCTGTTGAAAAATTAGAGGTTAAAACAGTTTACTGATGTTCAAATTTCATAAACGTTAAGTAAACAAAAAAAACAAGGAAAACAAACAAAAACCAGGGAAATATAAAGAAGTATTACGCACAAAACGATATAGAGGATTCAAGAAAATAAATAGAGGGATGTTCGAGTAATTGATGTAACTTTAACGACCATCACAATGGCTACTGTTGGCTAACGGTAAATGAATCTGAAGAAGGTTGCATAATATAAATCTGAAGACTCTACGTTAAATTAAGACGACAGTAGTTTACCGATGTTCAAATCTCGTAAATCGAGTAAGAAGAGGCCAAAAAATGAGGGTATCTTATATATTCCAAAAGGAGCGCGACCAGGTTTGTCGACAAGGTTAGCGTCTCTTGCTGTGCTTGTAATGTGGTTTCAGTCGTTATTCCTCTTAACAGACCATACTTACCAACTCAACTCGACCAAATCCGCCCATTCCTAAAGTAGCAACTATTTCTAGTTGGTCAAGTGTTATGTATGAAAATTCATTCTGCATCTTATCACGGACTGGTGATAAAGTAACATCTGAACCACTTCCACCACTAATTCTACAAAATAAATTATTTATATAAATTACCTCTTGATAGAAGAGACATATAGTCCCATACAATTTGAGAAAAATCACTCATTATAGCTTATTTTTCTATTATTATGTCTGTCGCTTATTATTATTTGTTGATCAACAGAGAATGGGTTATTGTCACTCAATGATATTTGTCTATCTATTGACCACTGTGTAAATGCGTGCGAATATTATTTGTTCATCATTAGACCGTGTTTGTTTCTTGCATCGTATTTTGATAATTTGAAAACCTAAAAGTTTATTTTGTTCAATGTTATTTATTTACTTGTAGACCATTGTATTATATGGTTCATTTGTTTAACTGTACCATTCGTTTATATTTTACCACTGATGGCGGACTGTTGGTACCCATGGGAACAACAAGTCCAGATGCCACTGTTTCAGTATTTGTATAATTCAAATTTTCTTCTTTTACTGAAAATTTTCAGTTATTAAAGTTTGAAATTGTAAGATAGGGTTACCATAAGTGTTGGTTGTTATGTTTTAGCTCTTTTTGTTTTATGCACACGCACGTTGAATGTATTTGACCTTCAAAACTATTGGTCTGCATTCATGCACGTAATTAAGGTTTCTCCAGAAACTAGTATCGTGCCAACTGATATCTGTAATATGGATTTATATTATCGGTAGATAATGATGTTTACGTTGCGGGTTATATGTATCACGTGTGCGTTGCTCACTGAAATAGGTAAAAAAACGTTCATTTTTCAATTACTATTGTTTTGATGTTGTTTATTTTTACTTATTTATTATCTACAGACAATTGCATTCATGCAAAGATTGCTGGTCATTTGGTCAGGGCGCCTATTGATTGTTCAAGGTCAACAAGCTCTAATTGTTCATGTTTCGAAATCCATTGATTTTTATGTTGCTGCCTTCCCAACCTACATCTATGTCTTCGAATTGCTGGTCAAAGGTAAGAAAGTTTGATTTGAAAAGAGAATAAACATATTTTTAGCATGTTAAACCGTCATGCTAAAAGTAAATCTGCAGTAAATAATTAAGGATCAATAAATGGAGAAATCTATATGGTTATTTAGAGGAAATTGCTTCTAATGTTTTCCGTTAATACCTATACAGGCTTCTGGCTAACGGTATTGTATAACTAGCAATTCTTCAATATTGGAAGAGAAATAAAAACATACTGACTGATTTGTACTTCTTATCTTCTTGTGTTATGTTTATTCATGTTTTGGTTGGTTTTCGTTATTAACTTGCGAATGTTATGTATTATACTAAGAAGGATATAACACATTACAAAGTAGGCTCAGAAGAGATTTTTCGGGGGGGGAGGGGGGAAATGCGGTCTATACAAGCAAAAAAAAGTTATCAACTTCATAACTATTACCCTAAAAACCTTCCCAGTTGATACAATATTCATGGGCTTGCTTTTCATATTGTAATTTCCTTCCTGTTTCTGTTTATGAAGGAAGCTATTGAACTGGGGTGGGGTAATAAAAGGTTAGTCATCTCTTCAAAAATTTTACGAGCGATCATGAATTAGTTTACAGTTATATCTGTATCACATATATGTTCAATGTGTCTTAGCCAAAATCCCTTTACCGAACACGACAAACACCGGACTGATTCTTGATCTGAGCAGCAAAATTGGCGCCTTAGTGAATCGGGAATGTGTACCCTACCGGAGTTTCTGAGTTCATCCCATGTTGTTGGTGATGTGCATATCTTAATCTTGAAGGTTTTTTGTAGTGTTTTGTGGGCTGATGTAGGGTATAAATTATCTTTAGCTGAGGTAATATGTTTGATTGCCCTTTGGTATTTTCTACTATTTTCTCATAAAAATAAGTTGTTCACACATAACCTTACTTCATCGTTTTTCAATTGTATTTAAAAACAAGTGCTGTGCTACATATGTTGTTTTTTAAGATACCTTTCGAGTAAAAAGTTAAACCAAATACACTTTCTTCATACCCAATTTGAAATATCAGATTCGAAAAATGGGAAGCTTACTTTATTCAAATGTACTATAACTCAAAAATTGTCAGACTAGAATAAATTGTGTTTTTGCGTTAAATGAAAATAAATAATATAATGAGAGTTTTGAGCAATATAACAAAAACAAATAATAAATCTTCCAGAATAAAAGAGTCTTTTTATAAAACGAAAAGAAAAAAAATCATGCAATTTCAGATATAAAACACCTTTAAAATAATGAATAAATAGAAATGAAACAAACAAATAAAAAAGGTAAAGCATAACAAAACAGCCACCTTGTACACAGATTGTAATAGAAATTATAAAAATATGCATCAGCCATTCCCATGCAATTCCAAATGATAATGATTTTTGTAACTCATGTCAGTTTTATCGTTACATTATTTTTTCTATATGTAACGATTCTATCTTCTGCAGTTAAAGATTTAAAAAAGAAGAATAAGAGATGCAAATAAAATTAACATTTTACTTGTGCAACCGTTGACGATTCCGAAGCAATGTTACTCGTGATTTACCAATGCAGTTTGTTTTCTTCGATGACCTATATACACAATTTGAAATCTGTTAAAATTTCCATTATAGAAAATCTTTTTGTATTCTTCTTTTTATTTCCATTTTAAAAGTCAGCATGAAAAGAACTTATATGGTGGTAAACATTTAACACCACAGCAATTGAAATATAAAAAAAAAACCAAATGGAATTTAAAACATATTTGATATTCATATGTGACAAGAACATTAAAGGTACCCATTTTTCTGCGCCAAATGCGCAAATCGACAATAAATGTCTCTTCAGTGATGCTCGAGGCCAAAATATTTGAAAATTCAAAGCTTATTAAAAAAAACTGAAGAGCTTATAAACCAAAAAAGGACAGCCAAAGCTGATTATAATGAAATCTAATACTATTATTACCGTTGTGCTCCTCGTGCTTCATCTCCATAATCTTTTTCTTTCAACTCATTTAAGTCTCCAATCAACTGATTGAATGATCTTAAAAAAAACAACAACAACAAAACACATATTAATTTAAATATATAGAATAATAGTTTAACAACGACTTTTCCCAGATCTTCTTGCATAATGATCTTCTGTGTGTATTTCCTACAATTGATATATTTTAAATGATCATGTAATTCTCAAAACTTTATATGTTTGGTGATTGTAGTGTTAAATGCATTTACTTATATTTAACTTTCTTTCTTAAAAAAAAACTAAGGATAAAAATATACATGATTTAGTATAAAAAGAATTTAAACAAATTCTAAAAGTAGACAATCTTACTCTCTGTCAACGGTTAAGCATTCTACACCAGGAGCTAATGCTATTACATTTGCTGTTCTTCTATCTTCACTGAAATAAAGAAAATAAGAAGAATATAGGTTTAAAACACAAGTTTGCAATAGTTTGTGACAAATTAAAATATGATAAAATTTTTGATAGTGGTCAAGTAAAGTTGTACATTTAAAAGACATACACATGTTTGCAAAAAGGGTTCGATTTCCTCAAGGATATTTTTGATCATTTAGCAAAATGTTTATACTTTAGACCATACTTGATGACACCCGCCAAATCGCGGCATTTATTATAAATATTTTCAAATCAATAATGTTAACTCAAAATTACATACTAGTTCTTACTATTAGGTGAACTATTTTCGTCAAGTTGAATTGCTTTCTCACTTTTGTCATGGATATAATGTTGCTAGAATTTATTTTCATCGAAGAATGATGGATTGTTGTATGAAATTCTTGTTGGTTATTGGACTTATCTTGTTTTATTTGTTTAAGTTAAATCTGGTAGATGAAGCAGCAACACACAAAACAGGTGTCCTCATTTAGTATTATTTTTCAAATGAAAGAATTACAACTAAAAAAAATTCCTTTATGTACAAAACCGTTTTCTAAATGTAAACCGGTTGATTTTACTATTACAAGAAATGAGATAAACTAATAAATAATACATGGCATAAATTCAAGAAGATTTAATTTCGGGGATGTCTACATTAAAAACAAATTTGGACTTTAAAATAATCAACGATTTAAATATTTTTTATTAAATCTTATAAAATTGTTTCCCATCTATGTACATTTTTTTTTGGATATTTATTACGAATCCGTAACGTATATACGTCATAATATAGTTTATTCATTGATTGTTGATCGAAAACTTTGACTGCTATTTAACTTTCGGGTTGTTGTTCAGATATTTACCGAGAGTGACCATGGTTAAGGTCGCTGCAAAGGAAACAGCTGTCGGCGTATTAGAGTACGGGAAGACAATGATTCAATAGTAGTACATTTTTTAAGATTTTGATGAAAAAAAGAATTTCTTTTACAATGACGCTTGTTTTATGGTAAAACATAGCCACTCAAGCATATAAAAACCCATCAAAGATACCAGCCTTATAAAAAATATTCAACTTGTTTGTTAAACTTGAAGTATCTTATGACTTTAAACAGCATAGCGTAGGGCTCAATAACATTTTGATAATATGGATAACGGAAAAATAAATATGCTTGAAATTTTTTTTATGAACATTATTGAAACTCTTTCTTATCGACCTGGTTTAGACTCCAATTCTGATCCGTAACAAAAATATAGGTGGAAGAACTTTTTTTCGTCTGGTCTATCCAGAACTTTTCTTTTTTAAACATTTGAAAACATTTCACGGTTTAATTACCTGAGCAAAGCCTTTTCTCCAAAATATTGACCTCGGTCTAGTTTTCTTATTTCCTTTGGATCGTCAAATCCAGCTATCTTCTGTGTTACCTGAACCTGAAATAATTTTTTACATATTTTCGAATATTCATTTGTTCTGTGTCTTAAGACAGATGACTAATTTTTACCATGATTTGGAAAACAGTTGTTATGAAAATGAGGAAAATGGTGTTGCTTTTTGTCATTGCTCAAGAATAAGTATTAACGACAGGAAAACAATTGTTTTTTTTTCTCATAGATCTTGAATTGTATATGTTCTTTGTTGTCGAAGCTAACAAACAGATCATGCAATTTTAATTTATGAACTAGTTCAAAAAAGTTAAGCAAAACATTGATAAAATATTGAATAAACGTCAAACATTGGACTGTTCTGGTCATTGCTTATTCAACTAAAACTTAGGTTTTGTTTGTTTTATTCAGGCTCTTGTTTATTTTCTACTGATATTGTATATATGTATATTTGACTTTCCAAACTTTATTTATGAACGGCCATGTTTCTTTAAAATGCTTTAGAATGCTAATAACATTAAACAGTGGCAATTATTTTCCTGCACTAGATGCGCTTTCCGCTAATGAATGTCAACTTGTGATGGAGGCCAAATTTGGAAATAAAAACGTTGAAAAGATGAAGAAACCGAAGAGGACAAAAAGTATAGCCAAACCCGACTAACGTATGTTGCATGAGTGATATACTTTAACTTCATGTTTTTAATTTGTTTCTTTTTTAAGATATACAAATGTTTACCTCTCCTTTATTGATAATGAAGAATGTATCCCCGACAGCACCTTCTCTTATAATGAAATCTCCTTCATGATAAAAGTCCTGCAAAGTAATAAAAAACAAATATCAAAGCCGATACAAAATCAGTTGCATATAGTATCAATCAATACTGGTTGGATAAGAAAATGGACACTAAATAAAGATAGAACAAAAATTAAAAGAGCAAAAGTAAACTGATGCCATCAAATTAATTGATTGTATCACTTCTCTTCATTTATATCATTTGAATACTAAAATAAATTGGAATGCATATGAGGATGCAAGTAAATGCAGAAAAACTTACCACTTCAAGAACATCAGCAATCTTGGCCAATTTATCAGTTGGAAGATTTTGCAGTAATGGAACACTATAAAAGCAAAATGATATATCTTTAAAAACGTAAGAAACTGCAAAATGATTAAATCAAAAAGAAAATATTAACAATAATCATTACCAGTTGCATATTTGTACTTAATATAAGATTTTCTGAATTTAAGTTTTGTAAGGAAAAGCTTTTCAGCCTTTCACAATTTAGATATCAAGAAAAAAAGATAATAAGTCGAAATCTACGCTGTGTTAAAGGATGAACAAATTAATTAACGGATAGTCGGGCAAAGTTCTGTTGCAAGAAAACATTCAGTTGCCTCTACCAAGCCAGGAATATGACAGTTGTTTTCCATTCGTTCCGTTTTTTGATAACGTCTAACGTTTGATTTTGTCAGTTTCATGAACTTCCTCTTCTGGAAGTTAACTTGGAGTTCAGTAATTTTCTTAATACTTTTTTGGCAATTAATAAGTAAGATAACATATTGAATCCGATGGTTATTATGTAATCAGTGATAATATGCTACTAAGGACAATGAAACAATACTAGTTTTATAATCTCTTTCGTATGACCTTGGAAGTAATATATTGACAATATTATACTTCCATGGTATGACTGATGAAAAGATCAAAAATAATATAAAATAAATATGACAAATCGTTTTAATGATTACATATTTCTGCAACTCAATAATACCATTTTATCAGATTCGTATTAAAAAAAAAATATGTTTTTTTTTCTCAAAAAAAAATAAAGTTCTGTATGAACTCAAATACTTAATAAAAATTCATTTTTAAGTGTCAAAAGTCAAAACCAAAATTTAGAAGAAACACAATTTGAACCGGTTTAGTTTTTTCAATGAAACTTTAAATTAAAGAGTTTTTTTTTCTACCGATCAAGATCGACACCTGCTTGTAAGTTTTATTTGTTCTTACACCAAATATTCATTAGTTTCGATATAATTACATGTAAGTTTACCTTCGTAAAAATTTGATATTTTCTTCTTGTCGTTGTAAACCAGTTTTCATCATAATAGCTTGGAAAACCCGTCGATCTAGAACCCATACTCGGATATCAGTTAGAGCTGAAATAGTAAAATTTTTAATTTACAAACAGTTTTTCATATTATAAGTCGATTTCACATCAATATCAGCTATTGTAGGTAAATTCAATACCTTTGAATACCATTTATTATATCTAACTACCCATTTACATTCATTCGAAAAAAACATAAGTCGCTGTCCCAGCAATAGCTGCTATTATTGATAACTATCAAAACTAGATATACGGATAAATATTTTTATCCAGCTTTACAAAATTTCCGGCTGAGAAGGTGCCTGTTTGTGTGTGTTGGGGTTCGAGGGAGCAAACATATAGTCAGTGGATCCACCGCCTTTGATCACAGATCACTAAATTTCTGACGGCTTTTGTCTGGATTGTCTGGATAAGAATAATTCGGTTTGTATGGCTAATAATTCAAGGGCAATCTATAAAATCCAATTAGATGCACCGACTAGGCTCTTACGTTCACAACATATCGCTAACGATAAAAATACGTTACATGAGAAGGCACAATACAAAGGTAGTACTGACTTAACTGCTTGTATGTATAGAAAGTAGCAAAAGAAGTTAATAGTGCGTTATGTTGATACTAAGGAATTGCCTTTTATATCGTACACTTATAAAAAGGCTGGCAAAAATAGAATTTAAAAATTTTCTAAAAAAATAAGAGATTTAGATATGATGCATGTTGTCATGTTGTGACAGAGGAGACCTTAGCTTTGTCAAAGACCGAGAGGGTTGTTTGGTGTTGATGACAGATCTTTGATAATCTCTGTTAAATCTTTTTCTAAAAATGTGTAGAGGTTAAACTCTAAACTTCTTTTGTGCCGTTTTTCTTTCATAAACAATGTCTATGTTTCAACCAACAAAAACAACACGCAAATATTAAACAACAAAGTAATCTCTATGAGTTGGTTTGTTCAAGATACAACTGGTTTTAGTGGAGAACTTTTCAGAACATTAAGCATGCATTTTCTGCTTTACAGCCTATACTGCATAACAATAGCTAATACGAATAGAAAAAAATCCATAGTAACAAAAAACAATTCATATTCAAATGCACATCTTCTAATGAACTACATCACACTTTTAAAATATTGTTATGCCAATGTAGTAGCCACTAGTGAGAGTTTAACGACCTTGATTACTTATGAGGGTCTGGAACGGCCAGTCATTTATATAATTTAGCATTAAATGGTGATGTTAATTTCTTTGACAAAAACGGTCAATTAAGTCAGTGAAAGTCTAAATAATAAACAGCATTTATCAATAAATCGGTAAGACTCTTGTGATATAGGATGTATCATATTGCCACAACTTAATTGGTCATATCTGAGATATACGCAGATTGGATAACCTCAAGGATTACAGAACTGATTCCATAAATGATAAAAAAGATGACTTTGTCTGTTGCTTGAATCCTATCAAATGCTTGTAATTCAAACACAGTCTACTGCAAAATGACAATATCAGTTAGTTTCCATTTGAATGCTAATTCGTTTCTGATTTAAATGGAGGAAACTGTCAAGAAGAATCCATAGAAATTTATACTTTAAATACAAATGATTGATCTGTAATGACTTTGTGATATAAAAAAAATATATTGAACAAAATCATACAATTTATTGATCGGAAAGAAAACTTTAAAATCATAGAATGTTTTGATCGAAAGAAAAATTTGGGTCACCAACTTCATGTTTTTTTCAATGATATGATGGTAAGACAATCAGAAACTTTCAGAAGTCCACTGTTGAAAATGTCAGATGTAAAACAAGAATTAATACCGGTATGATATACTGCATAAAATAACTAGTAGATGTAAATTAAGATTCTATTATTTGTCAAAATATACTTTTTGAATTGAATATATACTATTTGTCAATTGATAAACTGTAAATCAAGGAAAGGTATGACATTGTATTACAGGTCTAACAAATTTCCAATTTCTTAAATTTAACTTTCATGATAAATGGATATTAATATTCAAAGACAGCAATTACATGAAGGAACCATTAGATTTCATAAAAAAAACCTACAAAAAGATATGAAACAAAAACATATAGGCGTCCGTTATTACCGTTCATATATTATGTGATATGAGAATAGCATGCATGAAGCAAAGTACAATTTTACCAGACTGCAAGCAAACCAATGGTACATGGCTAAAAAGAAAAATCTAATGCAACTTATTGAATTCACACCCTGTTTAGGAGAGGTTCGTATAGCTCGGTCTTAAGTTTTTGTGTAATGTTTTTTTTGTTGTTGTTTGTAGTTTCGTTGTATTTATTTCTGCCACGGTTTTGTCTGTTGATATTAAACTTATGATTCTCGAATGCGCCCTTGCTATCTTCTGTCTCTTATTATCACGAGACAACATGGTAACCACTGGCATATTATCACGAGACAACATGGTAACCACTGGCATATTATCACGAGACAACATGGTAACCACTGGCATATTATCACGAGACAACATGGTAACCACTGGCATATTCTCAACTTGTTTCTAGCGTTTGTGCAAAATTATATGGCCAAAAGATCCCATTGATATGCAAGTACAAAATAAAACGGGCAACTCCTGGATATTCTGGAGGACACATTAATGTTTGAGAAAGACTTCGTGTAAACATATTAAATTTCAAAGTATATACCGACTACAACTATGCATAATTTACAATAGTAATAAAGGTACACAAAATGGATACATTATTTTTGAATCCCGCAATTAATGATAACTACATAGGACACACTGACAAAATTTGTGTATTTTTTTATCTCTAAATTATTTTTTTCAAATAAATAAAACGTTAGTCATTAAATTTTCGTGGAAGATTGGGAAAATGTAACTCCCCTGATATCATAATCAAGGGCGTCTGAACGTGCAGAAACTTGTGGAAGCCATACACATATTAGGAGTACTGTAGGTTCTCAAATATATCGGTGATATACTCACCTCTAACTGACGCTGTCCTTGTACAGTTATAAAGTATTGCCAGTTCTCCGAATGCCCGACCTGCAGTCATTTTACCAAGAACTTTATTACTTTTAAGCACCTCTAGTTCACCATCTACAAAATACATGTTATGTCATCTTAGTTTGCTTTAATGAATATTAGTAAAACAGTTCCCGCGTTTCAAAATAAGCAACAATTGTGCTTATCCTAATCAAGCTCAAGTTCAATTAAAGCAATGGCGGCCTTTTTGTATGCAATTGTTTCTCGTCTTTTTTTTTCAGTGTGCCACTGCCTATTTTTGACATTTTTCTATAGTATGGTTTAATTTTATTTGTTCAGTATTACCCCATATCCCCTTTTCAACGCAATGATTCCAAAAATAAATGAAGATGACAAAAATCAGTAATCAAAATTGAAGGGTACAAGACTACGAGTTACATACTTTGAATATGCAGCACCAACTACACAATTTTGGAAAGTTTATTAACATAAAGGTCAAAGATTTAAAGTTTTCGTAGGAATTTTGTCTAAATTAAGTTTTATGAACTATTAAATCCAAAATATTTTTACCAAAAAACAGTACTTTCAATACAGAAATCATCCAACGATGAAAACTATATAATTACATTAGTAGAAAAGACCTTCTATTACAAATTATTACTACTACTGTTTTCCCAGTAGAATAAATGCTATTATAACGAGATCGTAACCAAAGCTCATTATAAACAATGTTTCTGCATGACATGTACCTTGCTTGACAATGATGCCTGGTATCAAGAATGCACACGAGAAGATGTGAAATATAACAAAGAATATATATATATATATGTATATGTATATGTCGTATGTTAGACAGTTGTTTTGATAAAGAAAAAGAGAGGCGAAGGTGTTTGTCAAATAATTTGAAAAGATGCACCTGCGAAGTCTGGTTTGAAATGGTCCACCCATTAGTTTCGTTAAGGTTTCAATTTTCTATTACTGATGGACTTAATTGATGTAGTTTGTAGCCGTATCAGTCCCCAAGGGTGACTGGGGAATAGAAATATGGTCACTTCAGGTCTTCTTCCGACTGGCAGTAAAACCCTTGCCAAAGTGGGGCGTCCGTTTGGCTGTGCGGGATGTATCAAGTACGCAGCCACGTCCGGTCAGAATGGGGACGTTAAATCCGATGCATCGTGTAGAGAGAGTGTCACGCTCTCTGCACGTTAAGAACCCTTGCAACAACTCTTTGAGGGGTCCGTAGGTGGCCTGTTGCAAGGTTAAATTTCTGTCCCTATCCAATGTACCCTCATTTTCCTGTGGCAGTCCAAATGTTCCCGACCTGTAACCCAGTTGACCTCCATTACCGTACCTACCTATTGTATTTATTGTTAATTTGTTCTCGTCCTGAACATGCATGAAATATTTGCCACTGGACGTTTAGCAACCAACAATCAATCAATGTAGCCGTATCATAGATGTCTCACATCACCAAATTTTGGTAGAATTTGAATCTATATTGATATAAAAGTTGAAGCAATGCTTAATAAGGTCTTCGAGCGTCAACCGTATTCTTTATGTGAACATTGCTGTGGGTTGTGTAGCAATACGCCCTTTAAATCTTTTCATTTTATTTTTTTATTATCCCATTTCTATTTCAGAAATTAAGGCAAATTTAGTTTGAGAGGTGGAGTTGTCGGACACGACTTTAAAGGTAGACAACCCAAGAATGATTCTAATCAATAATAGTTGTAATTGGTCCGGCAGTTAAACATAAGAAGACTTGGGAAATCGATTATGACTGGTCCCAAGTGAGTGTAGTAGCTAGCGTGACAGAAAGGATAATGTGAACATAAATTATTTTCTCAGCCAGGAATGGTTAAAGAAATATCACTGATCAAATGAAACGGAAGGATCTGTATTACTTTTTGGTGCGGGTATTAAACAAGAGGTGCAGCATATGAGCAATTTAATTATTTTAACACCTATAAACATCGACCAAATACAAATTTTCGACATTAGTTTAAGATTAATTTGTAGTAAATCCCTTATAGAGTTTTAGTTGTTGATATGCACACATAAACCCAGATATAATGCAATATATCAATTATTTGTACATCAGCAATTTATTAAACACAATATTCTGTTACGAGACGAACCCTTTTCCATTATAATATTAGTTCTACCAACACATGAGCTGAAAATATTAAAAAAGAAATGGTTTGATGATTTTTATGGGAAAATGTTTCAATTAATAAACGGATAATGCACATTATAGCTTAATTGTTCATTGATTAAAAATAAAAAAGGAACTTCAAGCCTAACTGTTCATTTATTACCGAAAAAAATAATGAAAAGCGAACTTGCAGCTGTAAGATTTATCAATTTAATGGTAATAAGTTCAAGTATGAATATAATTGAACGAAATATGAGGTATACGTCAATGAGACAGCAACCCGACGATACAAATAGCCAAAGATAGTTTGAGGTCAAAATACAGTCTTCACGTACAGGTATATTATGAACCTACATAGTAACTTTAAATCCGTCTTTCAAATTATTTTCCCTTTTGATATTTTATTATAAATGTATATTTAACCCAAGAAAGAATAAGAGTCCAGCAATAAACTGCATGTTCGTACTGTCAATGCATTGCAATTGTCTAGTATTAAACATTTATTTTGTAAACTGCATGTTCGTACTGTCAAAGCATTGCAATTGTCTAGTACTCAACATTTACTTTGCTCATTCTTTGATTTTCTATGTGGTGTTTTGTGTACTGTTGTTTGTCGTTTGGTCTTTTTCTTTTTTTTTTGCCATGGTATTGTCAGTTTATTTTCGACTATGAGTTTGAATGTTCCTTTGATATCTTTCGCCTCTCTTTTATAAATGTATGATAATGAATTTAGTTTTCCATGATATTTGTAATTCACATATGGATAAAATAAAATGTAGGTATATGTTAAAGAGACAGCAACCCAACAGGACCAAATATTCACTGTCAATAAGCGATCGTAAAGTATCGTTTGTGTTTTTATGTGTTTTTTTTTTATTTGTCTTACATTTTGTGCAATTGATTTTCAAATGTTTTATATTTATCTTTATTTTATTATAAAAGACGTTTTGCTATTCTACTATTATCTATAGTTTTATTTTCAGCATGAAAATGGTATCCAGTTAATGACACTTCACCATTCACCTTATAGAAATTCGACATGCCCGATTTTCTTTTACTATCAGGAGGTTGATTTTGTTGGCAACAGTAATCAAAAATCGTAAATATTGGATTTGTCTCGTTCGAAACGCCTAGATTTTTCTGGTTATTATTCAATTTATTTTTTGTTTGTTTCATTCTGTTCAGGTCACCATTTACATCATACTTTCTTTGCACACTTGATAATAAATGTCATAGTCTGATATGACGCATAAAAGGGGATAACTGTCATGATTATTTTCTAAAGAAGCAAATGCAAAAAAAGATATGATTTTATTATGCTTTATCACAGAGTTCTTGTAAAATATGTAATTTAGAGAACAATTTTCACATATCACAAGTATGAATAACTCGTTATAGGTTTGTGCAGGTTAATAAAATACAATTATACAAGTGTACTAAATATCGTTTTGATATTTGTTGTTAATTATTACTGTAAAAGGGATTATTCCAGATCAATAACATTAAGGAATAAGTACATATTACACATTCACTTGGATTGCAATGGATCTAGAACTTATTTTCTGGTTAAAATATATAGCTTGGTTCACCAGAATGGAAAAAATAAATAATTGAACATGTATCTTATACAGATTTTTCTAACCCTTCAGAGTGAACTTTCAGGTTCATACAAAAATGTTTAATCGAAATCAATTCATAGGAGGAAAAATAGTGCCTGAGTTCTGTAAATGTTCGGTTCCTGTTACCATCGATAATAACTTTAAGTCCACGTAAAATGTTGTTTGTTATACTCATAGTGGTAACGTTGGTAATGAAATGCTAATTTATTCAAATAATATGTATGTAGTGTGTTTACGATTTAAAAATTATGTTAATTGCTGATTGATTGTCATTGTGATTAAAAAAATATATCATATTGTTTTCCATATAATTTTTTTATTGAAACTATGAACTCCTACAGCCATTAACCACATACTGTGATTTTCATTATTAGTTTTATAAAATAAAGAATACCATTGTTCAACATGTTCATCACTATATGGACTAGGCAACAAGGTTTTGTCAGTGACCTTTGGTCTTTTTTGTATATAACTTTATTAATAATTGGTATTATAATACCGTGATTTTCGTCATTAGATTTATAATAATGAATACCATTGTTCGAACATGTTCAACACTTTATAAACAACCAGTGGTCAGTGAACTTAAGTCTTTTTTTGTACATTTCTTTATTTATAAACTGTATTATAATACTAGAACCAAATTCGAGTGATGCTTTAATAAAATGCATTATACCGAGTAAGTATACGGAAAGAGGTGTGCCTTTCTCCTGGTCTATTATAGTTTCCGATTCTCACTATCCCTTTGGGAACTCAATCTTACCTGCTGATACATATAAATGTTGTCCAGCATCTCCTTCCCTGATTATATAGTGACCCTGTTTGATCTTTTTCTCGTACATACAATCAACAATTTCTCGTACTTGCGTCGAATCAAGGTTCTTCAAGAAGTCGTTGTCGTGAATTGCATCCTTAATTAGTTGCTTAGATCTGTCATTATAAGATAACAATTGATATGTAAATTCAATAGAAATAAGGCAATTAAATTCAATGTATATTGTCAAGAGGAGAACGTTTCAGATGAGGATTATCTTTTGTTTCTTGATAAGACTTTTATGACTGGGTGTTAAGAATTGTTGTAATTGTGTTTTTTTTTCACACTGGATTGGAAAGCGAAAAACAACAATATCGGTTTGGTAACCAATACTAGTTAATGCTTGAAATGGTTCAAGGTATCATGTTGAGTCCGTATTTACTTTTTGTGTGTTTTGAGTGTTTTGAGATAATGGGTTCATCTAGAAAGTTTCAACTAATGAAAATTTGAAAGACTCCACAATGTTGATCAAGTCTCTCATTTTACATTTGCTGCATTCGGAATGCTGTACAGATAACTATATACAATTGGGTTCAACTTAAAATGATATTATCTTCCTTTTATGTTATCCATCATAAACTATTACAAACGAAGTTGTTGCTTTTTGAATTAAAAAAGGGGGTAAAGTGTGGCCAAGTTGCCAAAATGAATTAATGCAGAAGTATTAAATATTGTTTTTATATTTTCTCTTTAGTAACATATCTTACCGCGTTACTGCTATTTTATTAGGTTAAATGTCATTTTTGAAAAATTAGTAAAAATTTACTATTTTCGAAGTCCAATCGATATATATATATATGTATACATTTTGAATGTTGTGTAGAAGTTGGAACATAAATTTTGTACTGTAATAAGTACTTTGTGAAGCTCTTAGCATAATTGAATAAATCAAGCAGACTTTCTTTATAGCTTATCACTGTTATATTTGGATGACTACATGCTCCAGCCTAGCTTGTTTATAATACTGATACAAAGTTAATGTAAGGACACTTAAATATATCTTATGCAAAAAATACAGACTCAAACCCAATCTGATGTCCCAATTTGCAGATTTATATCTGAACTACTATTATATAAAATTGTGAGTAAAACATCAAGCTGGTGAATTATTGCAGATAAACTTATATTGATAATTTTTCAAAAAAAATACAACTTGTACACAACATAGAACTGTTACTATATGGTTTACTTGGCTTTTTACACAAATGGCGAAACGAATACTGCACAGCATCCTAAATGACACACTAGAGGTATACAATTCCGGATCACCTGAGATCACCCCCAATTTTTTGGTGGGGTTCGTGTTGCTCAGTCTATAGTTTTCTATGTTGTGTTTTGTGTAATATTGTTTGTCTGTTTGTCTTTTTCTTTTTTAGCCATGGCGTTGTCAGTTTATTTTCGACTTATGAGTTTGAATGTCCCTTTGGTATCTTTCACCCCTCTTTTGAGGTACTAGGTTCGATTCTGGGCTTGAGAATAATTTATGTGTAAATTTATTCTAACAAAAAAAGTATTCATCTGCTATTTGAGGATATATCCTTTCACTCAATTTGAATATTTCTAGAGAATTATTTTATGGAGTAACTCGGGGTCACATGTGGAACAGGATCTGCTTACCTGGAGCACATGAAATCACCCCGGTGTTTGGTGGGGTTCGTGTTGCTCAGTCTTTAGTTTTATATGTTGTGTTTTGTATACTGTTGTTTGTCTTTTGATCGTTTACCGTTTATCGTTTTTTGCCATGACATTGTCATTTTGTGTTAGACTTATGAGTTTGAATATCCCATTGGCATCTTTCGCCTTACATAAGATAAACGATTAATGAAAAAAGAAATAGTCATGAAAACATTCTTGAAAGAAAAACAGGTACAAAGTAGCTAATATATAGTGCAAAGGAAATCCCCGGATGAGTCGTTAAGGCAACAGAAGAAGTAACATACTTATCTTTTTTTTCTAAATACATGTAATTTTGATACAATGTCAATCTCGTTGCTTCGTACCTAAATGAGTTAGGTACAAAGCCGGTTTAAAACATTTCTGATTGAAGTAAGAATAATCAAATTTTTATTAATAGTTTTCTATTACCGAATATATATATTAAATCTTTCTAAAAATGGTTTGCAATTCACTTATTTTACTAAGCGTCTTTTCCCTTGATCGATTAAAAGTAGATCAGTTGAGAGAATGATCAAACGACATGAATCTTAGAAATGTGTTCATCATCACGTGGAATAAATTGCGTGATGTTATTATACTAAAATTACCAAAGCAAGTAATTGAGATCATAAAAAACATGTCACTTCTAAGATACATTTAATGTGTGTGAATAGATTTTTAATGCGATGTCCATTCATATGGAATATCTTTGAATGAATAAGAAAGATAATGAATTTTGAAATATACAGACTGTGGAAATTGAAAAAAAGTATGTTATTCCCAAAGAAATATGTACCCTTTGAATGAAGATTCATTAAAAGAAAACTACAAGTATATACTATATGAACAAATATACCTGAAATCCTTCTCATGGTGTTTTAGTTCTAATATTTCACTATTTTGATTGGCGTTTGAACTTTCACCAGACACACCCTGCTTTTTGGTACGTGTCTCCTGGCCTGCCATCGTTGCATCTTCCTGTATAGTTGCCAAAATATCCGGCTTTCCTGCATCTTTATGAACTTTGATTTGTAAGACCGATTGTAATTTGTCAACTTCAGCACGTAATTTACAGATTTCAATATCTTTTTCTTCCAACTGTTTGCACTTTTCCACAAGTTCTCCTTCATATCGTTGTATTTTTGAATCTCTATTCCTAATTTCCTTCCTCAATTCTGGAACTAAATGTTTTAATTTGACCACATCTATTTGTTCGCCGTCTATAACAATGTGAGTAGAACTTGCTCCATTCCCCATCCTGTTGCCCGATGGAGCCACATGGGCAATATGATACACACCTGGTGCCCTGTTTGATGCAGGTGTTTTACCTGTGCCAGTTTTGTTCAATACTGAAGTGTTTGACTTATTACTTTCACTGTTATGATTTGGTAACGGCATCGCTGTGGTATCGTATTTACGTCAACTGGTTCTATTAATTCTATAGGCTGTATGGAAATTGAGCGATTTGATTGATAGAAGAATATTGCTAAGCAACAGAATAAAACATAGGCTTAACACCTGTTGAACACAAATTGACAGTTAACGCTGTATACCTTCATCTGAAAAAGAGCAAAATAAGACCTAATTATCACGGAACCATTTACACCTTTGTGGAATATCCTTATCGATTAATCGGTATCTTGACAAAACATTTATTTAAACCAGTAGTCTAGTCTGTTTACACTTACGTTATTCTGATATCGGGTTTGGTTAAGCAAGGCTATATAAGTAGTCACACAATGTATTTTTTTCTCAGAGGATATAAGAAATCAATGACAAGTTGTAACAAACAACTTATCAAACTTAACCAGTGTGTTATACATTTATGGATATTTTTACCTGAAATTTAAAACATCAGAACTGATTATTGAAAGTTTAGGAATAGCAAAATGGATTCAGACAGCAAATAAACTAAAATGTACGAGTCGTCTCATGTTGAGTTCAGAATATGCTCAAGCTTAAAATTCTATGAGTTGCTCTCAGTAAAATGATAATTGATAAAAAGATAGGCTAGTGTTTCCCCTAAAGAATCGCATAATAGCCCCAGTAAATTTCATATTCATCAGTCAATTGTTCCATGGAATAGAATTTTCTTTATAGTATTTGTTCCAAAGGAGAGAAACATTCTGGAATATTATTTACACTGGAAGAAATATTACAGTATTTGTTCTTGACAGAATAAAGGCAATAGAATATGTAGTCCAGCAGAAACGATAGTATAGCATTGTTATAAATAAGTTTCCAGAGGAATTTCTGTTGGGAGGAACCGAAATTAAGTTGTCAACACTGCACCTTATTGGGAAAGACGTATAATAAAGAAAAAGTATTATATTTGGAGCAACCTGCATTTTATAAGAACATTTTTAGGCAGATTTACTATACTTGTCTTTCTTCGGCACAGTGAACAAAGAGCAGCCTATTTGGGTCGCTCAATAAAGTTCGTGAAATCTGTTAACAATATTTGTATTCTTTGATTAAAATATTATAAGTTCAAAATTATTTCAAAGCTATTATAATATATGCTAACATATAAGAATTATTCTTTTTCCCATATAAACACTATTTGCAATGCAGATAGTTCATTAATATTTAAACTCAAATCAGTAGAATTGAAATAGATTAGTAAATATTTTTGTGGTTCTAGTAATTTTATTGTATCGGTATGAAAGATTGCATCATTTTAATGCATTACTAGCTTGTCGTTTACCTTATATACATGTGTTTCAAAAAATCTTCAAGTTACATGTAATACCCTTTGAATCACGCATTTCCATATCAGATAAAGGAAATATATAATGTGGTTTCATCGAATGCCATTTTGTTATGAAATTGTCAGGCAAAGTTGACCTTAGATGGATTTGGCTATTTTTTAGGGTTTTTTTTGGTCACATAGCTCTTCAAATGTTTCGGTTCTTATAACATCCTTGGCTTTCAAATATTCGGCTTTGAGCGTTCCTGATGAAGGTAAATCCAGAAAAGCGCTTGGAACGCATGAAGTTTATTTATAACGTGTTGTTTTCATTTTTTTCGACGAAAACGATTCATCGTTAAGGGTTAACACTCTAGCGTATTTGACTTGAACCTCATTTACGTCAATATATTCTAACTGTACTTTTAGATTGTCGGTAAGGTCGTAAAGTCTTATCATCTTGCGCAAAACTTATGAAATATATGCTAAATACCAAGAGATAGATTTATTAAACGTTATGCCTTTCATTCTCTCTAAATCACCGTGCAAATGTTTAATGTATCAACTATAGGAAACACACTGCAAACAATTTGATATTTGACACAAATTCAATATTCCTGCTGTCGACTCTTAGAATTAATTAAGCAATGTTCTTATTTGATAAAACCCAATATACCACGAGAAAATAAATGTAAATAGTTTCCATAAATGCAGCTTTTGCTTTTCATCTCTCCTGACACCATATTATTCATTTCGCACACCACGTACAGCAGAATATTGAAATGAACGTAGTGCGACAATTTCTTTTTTTTTTAATAAAACAACAAAAATCTCAATATTTCAAAAGTATATACGACATAAAAGAATCAATTTTTGTTGGGCAAATTATTCCAAAACAAAAAATACTTTAAAGAGTAAGTGCACTTCTGAAATATTCACGAGGAATCTATTAAATCTGAAAGTCTCATATGAATTTGAAATATGATTGACATGTTACAATATTACAATTATATTTCAAATTCATATGAAACTTCCAGATTGTACCTTTAAATAGAGCCCAAAGCATGCAAGTCAACATGAATTGTAATTAAAATATATGGAAACGTTTTAGAATGAGTAGACATTTGTACCACACATCTAAATGATCATCCTGAGATCATCCCCAGTTTTTGGTGGGGTTCGTGTTGCTTAGTCTTTGGTTTTCTATGTTGTGTCATCTGTACTATTATTTGTCTGTTTGTCTTTTTATTTTTGGCCATGGCGTTGTCAGTTTGTTTTCGATATATGAGTTTGACTGTCCCTCTGGTATCTTTCGTCCCTCTTTTATACATCACAGCGAAACAGGACAATAAAAAAAAATGTCCATCGCGGCATTCCACCACTCTAACGCTTGTGAATATTACTGCTGGTAGATATTGTCTCCGAGTATATCACCAATCATGACTAAATTTGAACAACAAAAATAAAGTTCTAACTCCTTCACTCAACGAAGATTCACATTGCTTTAGCTATTTTTATTCAGCTCCTCATAAATGTATCCATCTTGCTTCGTCCTTTGGACTCTAAGCGCTTTCCTGTACACAGCAAATTCACGACGTTGCACTGTGATCTAACGAGTATGTCGAACAGCCATTGTTATTTTTCAAATGCCATAACTTGCTGGTAGAATTGACGCCATTGATGACATTTCATATACAGGCAAGGTCCACTTCTACATATTTACGCAATGCACATGATTTTGTTAGTTTAGTCGATTTATTTAAATATGAAAGAGAAAAGCGAGATGTATAGATATATTGTAAAATGTTAGTAGTTCTTCGTGTTACTGTCTTCACATAATGATCAAACAAAGAGTAAGTACCAATTTTCCTGAACTTATTTTATACATGAATCATTTTTTGAAGTTCAATAATCTTTACCTAAATTCAACATATCAAAGTTCTGTGTGTACTTCAAGGTTTAAACAACAAACTGTTGTATTTCTGAACATGTGACCAAATTATATATACCGGGAAATGGCTAAGATATTCACTTTCGATAGGGTTTGGAAACTTTTGAATATGTATTAAAAAAAATAACCAATAACCAATAAAATATTTTTTTGACAGTCAAGCTAAGTATTGTTTCAATCAGCTACACATTTATTCATATCGGTTTAGGATGTCTTTCGATGTAAGTTTTGAAGAAAAAAACGTACATATATTTATAAAAAAGCAATATTGCTTCAAAAGTGCCTATTATGTTTTTATGAATGTACGTGAACTATTTCAATATGAATAAAGGGAGATGTGAGGTATACGTCAATGAAACAGCAAACAACAAATATAAATAACCAAAAAGACATCTAGGAGATTAATATACATAATGAGGATATGATCAAAACTGTAATATAAAAAAAAAAAAAAGTAATATTCAATACAGTCATGTACGTTCTAGGCAATCCCCTTTGCCACAGCAATAGAAACCTTTGGCAAAATACATACAATAACATTAACGGTATCAATTTTACAGCACCAGATGCGCATTCACAAATAAGTAAATACAGAATATATGAGTATGAAGGAACAAGCTCGTACGACTAAAACGGTTAAATTAGATATTATTAGTAATCTTGAAAGTAATAAAATTGCTTTTAAGAAATGGTAGACTTAATTGAAATGCCCAAATGAAAGTGCTCTATTGGAAATGAATGATCTGTGTTTATGGAAATTATATAACAAGGTTTACAAGTATGTGTATTGCATGCACTAAAGTTTAAGATTCTGCGGCTTTCGGAAAAAAATCCAGATTTCTAAATACATCATAAAAATATTACTGTTGATGTGATATTAACTGATGTTAAAATCTAAAACATTCGCTCATAAATAGATATGGATTGCACTGTATACAGTTGGTTCAGGATGAATGATTCCTTGGTAGTTCTGAACATATAATGATAACTAGAACACACCTGCGACATCGCGTGTCCGTGACTGAATTAAAGTACCTACGCCTTACTTTTAGCCTGGATTTTTAGTATTCGTATTGGCATTTGATAAAGTCATGCTGATTATAAGGTGCACAGTTTTCTCTGCTTGCAAACTATTTCTGTTTGAATCCGTCCTGGATTTCTCACTACAATATAGTAGTGGTACTCCAGATAGTGGAGGAAAGAATAAAGGAAAACTACAACCGGAAACTGCATGTGACATGTACTATTGGTATCGGTATTGGATTCGACCCGGAACTTGTTAAATATTGGCAATATTTAATTATGAGGAAAACAAAAGGGCCTGGAATGGTGTAATTTTTCATCAACACCATTGTCCTATAGTAGTGATATATAAAGTTGAATTCTTTGGTTCGTCGATTTTATGTCATAACAAATTAGACCTCGTTATTTTAGTAGTATTGATACATGCGAGCATTCGTGTTTGTTTTTCTTTTTAACCGGGTTCTTAAAGTGACAGCAAGGTTGACAATTATGTTTTCTTAATTAATTAATATTACATTAAAGGTTAACTCCTAACTATCCTACTGCCTGTCGATACTTTTATTTTGGCATTGCACAAGTCATGTCTTCTGTGACTGTCCATGACGTTAAAACACTAAATCCCTGGGATGTGTTTTAGTTGATTTTAGTCTCTGATTCATGATTTTTTATTATTAATTGTTTTTGGCTTTTAACTAGCTTTCAGTAACTACGAGAACTCTCAAATCGTACTTTTGTGTTAATTTGACCTGTTGATACAATTTATAATGTATTTTTGTCATTTTATGTTTACTTATTCAGTGTTATATCTAGACTATTTTTTTTAAATATATACCGTCTTTGATAAGTGTTTAGTATGACGATAGATTTTCACTTTTGTTCTCGTACTAGGAACAACA